GTTTGGAAGTCGCTTTTCATCACTCTATATCCCTTCTGGATTTTGGAGTTAGAAGTTCACTTCATCTTTCTATGGAAGAATCCTTCTCTTCTTTTCAGGTTTACGCCTCTTTCATAAAGACTTCAGGTTCGTAAATCTTTATCTAAAACTGGCTCACATTTTTTCTGCAATGCTAATGCAAACACTTTCTGTGGTTTGGAGTTGTTTTTAGTACCCCAACTTCTTTATGTTTCACAGAAATTTCCCCCCCAAATTTTGCTCAGTAATATTTCTGCCCACTCCTAGCCCCCTAGTTTTGCATCATCTGGGAAAGCCCTGACAGCAATAGGGCTTAATATTGGCCGTCTCCTCCTGCCACTTTGAACGGGCAGAGGTGTCCTGAGCAAGATAATGGTCAATCTTTTTTTTTTTTTTAAAGATTCCACTTTCTCCTTATGCCATTAAACAGTTGAATATAAACAATTCTCTGTTTTGATACCATGCTCATCAGCCTTCTTTGGTCTTTACATCTAACTTGCCTACAAAAACAGAGTGCATTTGCCAAAACATGCAAGTTTTCTGTTTCTTGTTCCTCAGTTTCTTATTGTGTAAATCCATAAATTGCCATCATGTCTTGTTTATCAGTCTCTTTTGAACTTTGTGAGGATAAAGTAGCTCCATAATCTGATCGCCCTGGAACACTGGCAGCTGAAGACCAGACCCTGCTCCTTGGCCGACAGAGCAGAGCAACCTGTTTCGCGAGGCCCTTTGGCAGCCTGTCAGCTGCCACACCCTGAGTTCATTATGTATCCTTCTTTCTGACTTCTAAAAGCATTTATGTTGTTTAGTCACTAAGTCGTGTCCACCTCTTTGTGACCCCATGGACTGTAGCTCCGCCAGCCCCCTCCGTCCATGGGATTTCCCAGGCAAGAACACTGGAGTGGGTTGCCATTTCCTCCTCCAGAGAATCTTCCCAACCCAGGGACCAAACCCGCATCTGCTGTATCTCCTGCATTGACAGGCAGATTCTTTACCTCCCAGCCACCTGGGAGCATTACTGATGTGTTATTTCTTTGTGCTTTTTCAAGGGGCATTATAAAAGGTTTTATTTATTAGTTTTTTTATTAGTTTTAGTTTATAAACCTTATTTTATAGTTGAGTCTTAACCTTTTCTCCTCCTGCCGATTGGCAAACCAATTTGAAAATTCTCCTGTCAGCTATAGATATTCTGGACAAATGAGAAAGCACTCTTAAAATTTCTAGGTATTGCTCTTTGTTGAAGTTTCTAAGTCTCCCCCCCCACCCCCACCGCCAAATATTAAAAAAAGTAACAGGCACTTTTTAAAACCAGTGTTTGAAGATAACTGTCTATAAACTTAAAATTTATATGCCTAAAGGGAGTTCCCTCGGATACTGCTGCAAATGTCTACCTACCCGCCTTTTTGAGGATTTAGGATACATATTATTCCATTAACAATGCAATGTAATGGGAAGTCATACAGTAAGAAACTTTGTGTAATCTAGATTTCCTAAATTTATTTGACTTCTTCCACTTCCAGCCAACCTTCCAGCTCCCCTCTTCCTCACCAGATCCCCTAGTGCCAGTTAGCAAACATGACTGGGGGTGTTTGCTCTGTACTATGCCATCCCCTCTTGTCCTTTCTTGACCTCTCTGCATCTGATCCTAAAACATAGAACATGAACCCAGTTTTCTGAGATCTCCAAAGATAATGTGGCAGCATTGCCTTAGGTAGCGTTCCAAGTTTTGTCATCATGTTCAGTCGTGTCCGACTCTTTTCGACCCTGTGGACTACAGCCTGCCAGACTGCTCTGTCCATAGAATTTTCCAGGCAAGAGTACTGGAGTGGGTTGCCATTTCCTCCTCCAGAGGATCTCTCCTACCCAGGGATCGAATCTACTTCTCCTCCATGGAAGTTGGATTCTTTATCACTGAGCCACCTGGGAAACCATTCCAAGCCTAGTGCTCAAAAATCACTTGGCCAGGATAATTCTTGAGCTCATTTTATTATTGTTTCAAAAATAACGTTCACTATTATTAAAGCACATTAAAAAGTTAAGCTAAATGCCTAAATAATGTCTTACATTTGTATAATTTCTATGTTGTATTATCTCAGATGGCCTTAGACTAGGCCTGTGAGCTAGCCGGGCAAGTACTGTAATTCCTGGGTCTGAGAGGAAACTGACCTGAGTTCAGAGCGTTGTGATGATTTGAATAGGACCCTGGTGGCTCAGATGGTAAAGCGTCTGCCTGCAGTGCAGGAGACCTGGGTTCAATCCCTGAGTTAGGAAGATCCCCTGGAGAAGGGAATGGCAACCCACTCTAGTACACTTGCCTGGAAAATCCCATGGACAGAGGAGCCTGATAGGCTACAGTCCATGGGGTCACAAAGAGTCAGACACAACTGAGTAACTTCACTTTCACTTTTTCACTTTCATGTGATCATTTAGCAGCAGAACCTGGATTAGATCTCTAAATATCTGACTCCAAGGTGCAATACGTTTCTTTTTCCACAGTTGCCACCCTTTACAGGCAAGTTTTGCTAATTTTTTCAACTCTCCTTTCACCCTATCTCCCATTTGTGGACTCATTTCATTCAGTAATACCTACTCTGAGTCCAATACAGTGCTATCAAGGTGAACGCTCAAGAACAATTCAGGGAAAGTTCTTGCCCAGAAGTACTCCGAGTTTAGTTGGATAGGCAGATGACGTGATCAGCGCTTGTACTTGGGGTATTTGTTACACATGGCAGAGAGCACACTTGAAATAATGCCATTTGGTCTCTTCTGGTAAATTGATGTCTCTCCTGGCAGGGAGCCTTAGAGAAGTCCCCACAGTAAGGCTTCTGTCACACTGCGCTGTGACGGACCCGCGGTAGCCCTGTAGATAGATCGTAGCACAGAACCGGTTCAGGAATAGGTCATGCCAGGGCTTGGAGGCGTGAAAAGGCCAAGTGAGTGGTGAGGAAGGGCAGCACATGAGGCCAGAAAGGCAGATAGGAAACAGCATTCGGGTGGGGTGGGCCTCCGAAGCTCACCATCTGACTTTCCCAACTTTCAGTTCCTTTCTTTACTGGGCTTCTGTGGGGAAGAAATGCAGTCATGCTTGGGAGTGCCATGGTCTTAAAGCCTCAGGCACAAAGGGGGAAACCAATGAATAAACCCTCATAAAGTTTCTGATAGACACCAGCAGTCTGTGTATGCGTTGTCCTTATTTGTCTTGCTGAGCTCATTTGACTTGCCATGAACCATTTTAAACAAGTAATGTGATCAGCCTCTTGTTATAAAAAGATTTAGAGTAGCCAGCAGAGAAACAAGTTTATGATGTTAAAATAATAAGTGCAATTTTAGACATAATGAGGTTCAAGCAGTAAATTGATGTATAAACTCACTAAGACAACAGCGAAACTGGGAGTTTGCCATAATTAAATTGTTTACTTTCAACCTGTGTAAGACTTGTTTCACATGAAGAACAAGATCCCTGGAGTGTAGTCCAGTTCAGGTCTATATCCAGGGCTCTGTGTCTTGATGTAGTTAGTTAAGGAGAGGTTGGTGTTGGGGGTAGGTGGCAGATTTGGGAGAATACTTTTAGCTAATAATGCAATGTTGGATAGTTACACTGGCAATCTGGATCTTCTCTAGTATGGATTGTTATGATCTCCCATCTAGATAAGCAAAAGCCTCTTTAATGTATGGAGCCATTCTAGGTTTTTTGTTTTGGGGTTTTTTTGAGCGGGGAGCGGTGGGGTCTAGATGTGGACTCTGGTGGGCAAGTCTCTAGGGTCGGTGCCCACCTATAGCAGCCACCAGAGTTCAGTCTTAACATTCCTTATTTTGTCTAATTATCTACCTTATCTTCTCCTTCTTGGTTTTTGTTGTTGTTGTTTGTTTGTTTTTTGGCCATGCCACATGGCATGTGGGATCTTAGTTCCCCAACCAGGGACCAAACCTGTGCCCCTTGGAGTGGAAGCATGGAGTTTTCACCACTGGAACTCCAGGGAAGTCTTTACATTATCTTCTTTGAACCAGTACTTTGCTTGGCTGGCCCAATGGTTTTTAAAAGTTGGTACCTGAATGACTTTAAACAAACATTGTCCAGGAAAGATCACAGAACTTCTCTGTTGTCTCCTGACTTGATTCATATGTTTTTGTTTCCTGCCTGGTTCCTACAGGCATTTGAGTTTCATCTGAAAATGAAATGGACCTACCAGTTGGAGTAGGGCACTAGACTTTGACCTAGCACTATTTGGAATGACTTAGGATTCAGGATGAAATAGGGCATCCATGGACTCCATTCAGAGGGGTTTGTTTCTGGGGCATCCTTGGTTAAGCCTGCACTTCCACTGCAGGGGGCACAAGTCGGGGAATTTAGATCCCACATGCTATGCAACGTGGCCAAAGGGGTTTGCTTCTAAAAGTAGTTTTTCCCTAAAACATAATACCCATAAGAATTGCTCTGACAGATGTTCATGTGCATATTTGATGTAACACTACTTGATTCATAGAATTTATATGGCAGAAACTACTTCTTGCTATTTAACTAAACTTCGTTAACTCTTTTGGAGATGTGTGTTTATTGGGTCATAAGTATTAGCAAAATCTTGTGGATTTTATTTAGTCATCAGTAGGACAGCCACAAAATTGATTGAACCTTTCTTGTTTTGAATGACTGGTGAATATGTATGTGAATGTGTTCATGTTGTGTGTGAACTGCTACAAGTGCTTCTTTAGTGTGATTTACACCTGCCAGCACAGAATTCATTTCTGTTGCTTTCGGAATGGTATATCTTTCTCTTTCTTTGCTATATTTACTGAATACTGTATTTCTTTATTATATTATGTTACTTATAATGTGAAAGAAGTTATAACCCTATAACTGTTAGGGTACAGTGTTGTTGCCTAGTAGAAATCAGACCATTTCTAGAGTTTGTTAACAAGAGATAGAAAGTTTTCTTTTCCTGTGAAATAATTTGTATCTCTGTGTCATTCTAGTCTCTGTTACTATGGCAATGACGGCAGGGTCGACAACCACCTTTCCAATGAGCAACCATACCCGGGAAAGAGTGACTGTGGCCAAGCTCACATTGGAGAATTTTTACAGCAACCTAATTTTACAGCATGAAGAGAGAGAGACCAGGTATAGTAAAGGCTGGTCAGATTTTTCTGTGTAGTTAAATAAGCTATCATATTACAAGTGGGATGTAAACATGTTGTCTGTTAATAATATAAATATTGTGGATCCTTGAATGCTTATTTTAAGTTTCCCATAAAATGACAGTGTACTTGGTTACTTATTTTACCTTCACAGAATAGTGTCTTGTCCTGGCACCAATATACTTATATCTCATGTTAATTGATGTTTTAAACAAAATGTTTCTTTCCATGAGATTATATCTTTATACTTTGTTTTCAAAAACTTTCTTTTAAAGAGCTAACTAACGAATGACTGCTTTTAATCCAGAAACATTTGTAGTGTTGTGTGTATATAGGTGGGAATGAGAGAAGTTTTTTAAAAATTGACGTTATTTTGCTTTCAGAAAACTTACAGTAAGGAAGATAATGCACATGAATATTATATGAAAGGGTGAAAAGTATGCCCTTTGAGAAGGGTGAAGAAAGGAGAGGTTGTTTTTGACAAAGGCAGCTGGGAAGGCTTCATCGAGGCTGGTGGCATTTGAACAGAGCCCTAAGGAAGAGCACTATTCAATATGCGTGAAAGGGAGAAGGGAGAGGTTAACAAGCAGGCGGGGGCATCCTGGAGACTGGGGAAAGCACCTCCCAGGTCAGGCACTGTCCAGTTTAACTCCAGCTAGATTTTTACCATTTCCTGGGAGCCTTGGGCGCTTCAGATCAAAGCTATTCTCATGCTAGTAAAGAGCCTTGAAAAATTTTCAACAGAAGATCTAAATGATCACAGGTACGTCTCTGGAAGACCACTTTTGTTGTGTTGTACAGAATGGATTGTGGGAGGAGAAATTAGAAACAGGAAAGGATGTAGTCCCGGCCAGTGGAAAGGAGGCTAGCTTTAGGCTTGTGACAGCAACAGTAGGGAAGAACTCAGTGAGAAAAATGGGAAGAACGTGGCAGCTACCCAGATAGGGAAGGTGAGAGAAAGAAGTCAGTGCTGGCCCTGACATTTCACACCTGGGCCAACAGAGTGTGGTATAACTTAGTGAAGTAGAACTCGAGGGGAAGAATCTGGTTTGGGATGTAATTTGGGGTGGGTCTAACTACAGATTAGACATGGCTGGGGAGAGTACAGAACTGGAAAGTGAAACTCAAGTGACTGTTCAGAAGTCAGCTTAGAGGAAGGAAATATAAAAGAGAGCTAAGAAAGGTGGAGACTAGTGAGGAGAGTAAATGTGTCTTTGATCCAAATTCCTAGAGGAAAAGAGGAAAGAGAATGGAACAGAGGTGAGTTAAACTGAGTTCACCATCAGCGGAAATTCCAAAAGATTCAATTTAGGCAGAAGGCAAGTGAGCACACTCAGAGGATCTAACTGTAAATATGTAGGTAAATATCAGCCAAAATGGACTGTATAAGAAAACTTCAACAGTAATGGTAATATCTTAGATATTTTAAAGAATAGAACGAAAGTATTTTTCAACAGTAGACTATCAGGAGGGAAGATCAGTGTTTCCTAAGGATAGGGATACAACATAGAAAGGGGTAAAGATTGATTAATTTCAAGCCTTGGCAAATTAAGAATACTTGTTATAATTTCTAGGGTGGCCACTAAAAGAACAAAATTAGTTTGTAACTTTCAAACTAATAGAAGGAAAAAAAGAGCTAGGGGAAAAATAAGTTCAGAAGAAAGCAAGGGAAAAAGAAAAACTGAAATACCTAAAAGTAAGCACAAGTAGAAACCGCACCATAAGTTAGAAATAAAGCATATAAGAAATTACCATAATTGTAAATATAGTGAAAGTCTGAAAGTGATCAGATCATCAAGGGAGACTGAATGAAGTAAAAGAGAACCAAGGAAGGAAAGTCCTATATTTTTTCAATGGTCACTTAAATTACCATCTTTCTCAGTGAGAAAGATGGGAAAAACATGGCAGCTACCCAGATATGGAAGGTGAGAGAAAGAAGTCAGTGCTGGCTTAAAATTCATGAGAATTTTAAAGGTTCATTACTGCCATTTATTGCTGAAACCTTAAAGTAACTCAGTTTTGCCTTCTGTTCCCAAACAAAAGAAAATAGGGATAAAAAATTAAAAAAAAAAAAAAAAAAACCATGGTAAGTGCCATGGAAGTCAAATTAAATAGCTCATGTTTTCTAAAAACTTGTACTTTAAGGAACATGTGATGGATTTTTCAGGCTTAATTAATTGGATAAATGCATAAGCCAAATAAAGTATCAATCAGTACAAAGCTTAAGATCATTTCAGGAGGAAACTATGTTTTAAGAAGTGACAAGAGAAGCCTGTGGGTCTTCTCATTTAGGTATGGAAAGAGATGAAAGTTTTTGCATCTGTGCCCAGAAGGAAAGATAAGTTACTGAAGTGTTGGCTTTAGAAGGCGAGCATAGGGATTTGACAGAAGAATAAAGTTGTTTGTGTACTGATAGTCCCTCCTGTGTTAATGGTCCTCTGACTGTCCGGATTCTTCCTGCAGAGAAGAAAACTCAGATCATTCACCAAGCAGCCCTGGTGTCTAGAGGGGCATGATGGCAGACACAGAGTCCGGTATCAGGAACTTAGTCCATTCAAAGGGTTGGCCTCAGGCAATAATGTGTAAACCAAAGATAAAAATCAGTGTGGTTAGCACCAAGGTAGGTGCTTATTACTAGAATTGAGGAAGTAAGTGGAGAATATTCTTTGACATGCTGACTTATGAACAGGATTTTGATATTTTTGTTATGAATTTTCCATAAGAAATAAAAAGGATCTTAACAGTGGTTTAGGAAAGAGCTTCCCTTTGGGCATATTGTCATAAACATCATGGTTTCAATCCTCAATCCTTATGGATAAATCTTTGAAAGTTAGTCTTTTTCTAGTACGCTGCAAAACTAATGAGGAAAAGCTCTCCCAGATTTATCATTAGAAAAAAAAAGAAGCAATACAATAGAAATGAAATAGTAATAGTCACTTGGAAATGAGTTGCAAAGTGGATACTGCAGCTGTCTGTCTGGTTACCAGTTATTTCGTCCATACTGACCAACACCACACATCCCCTCACCCCACCCCTACTCCCTCCGTAGCTTAAGTAACTTCAAGGGTACATTTTAAAATATTGAAGAACTGAACTTGGCTATGCCTAGAAAAGCGAACATTCTAGTAGTTAATGGGTTATTTTTTTAATGTACATATATCACTTTCCAATTTCTCAGGAACTATAGCAGAATCAAATATACTTAGTTGCACTGAACATCTTTCCTTGATTAACTGGGAAAATCAAGTTTGGAGGTTAGTGAAGGATGCAGACGAGCTTTGGCTAACAAGCGCTGAAACCAAAGGTCAAGCACGAGAAGCCAAGCCCGCCGTAAGAACGCTAGGCTCAGTCTCTGTAGTCTCCTCCTCAGCCCTCGAGTGTGAGTGCCGGCAGATGCTAGTGGTATGGGGCTTGGACATCCGACGGCAGAGCTTTCCATGTTAAAACTCGAGTCACCTTCGCTAACACTTCATTTCGGCAGCTTTGGAAGTAAACTACTCATTTGGCTAGTATAAGACAGCTAAATCTGGACTGGGCTTATATTTTGAAAAAGAAGTATTTTATATATATATATTATATATATATATATATATATATATAAAATCACTCTTTTCAGTGATTATTTTGATTCAACTTGATTTTTTTTTAGCATAGCAAACTGAAGTGTAAACTTGAAAAAATAAATGTACATTTGTTAAATGGAAATACTTAAGAACACATTTAAATTTAAATTAATTTTTCTTCTAAAAAGGCAGAAGAAATTAGAAGTGGCTATGGAAGAAGAAGGATTAGCAGATGAAGAGGTAATGTAAGCTGTAATTACTATGACTAATGCCTCTGTTATATGCCTGAAAGTCACTAAATCTTAAATGCTCTCACTACCAAAAAAAAATAGCTTTTAGTTATGTGAGGTGATGGATGTGTTAACCAACTTTATTGTGGTCCACATTTCACAATATATATTCACTTGTATCAAGTCATCGAATTGTAGGAAATTCCCTGGTGATTAGGACCCCATGCTTCCACTGCTGAGTTTGATCCCTTTTTGAGGAACTAAGATCCTGCTTATCACGTGGCATGGCCAGAGGCGGGGGTGGGGGGGTGGGGGAATCACCACATTGTATGCCTTAAACTTACACAATATTGTGTAAACAATATTGTGTTTCTCAATAAAAAGGGGAAAACTATAATAACTGTACAAAAGCTATCCTAGTGGCTTTTTCAAGTATTAGCGCTAGTGGTAAAGATTCCTCCTGCCAGCGCAGGAGACATAAGAGAACACGGGCTTGATCCCTGGGTCAGGGAGATCCCCTGGAGAAGGGAATGGCAACCCACTCCAGTATTCTTGCCTGGGAAATCCCATGGATGGAGGAGCCTGGAAGGTTAACAGTCCATGGGGTCACAAAGAATTGGACATGACTGAAGTGACTTAGAATGCACACATGATCTTATAATTTAGATAATGTGGGTTTAATATTTGAATGTGGTCTTCTCACTCTGTTGCTATGATAGAAATGTTTGAATGGGGGAAGCTTTTTTTTTTAATTCTAAGAACATATATTCAATGAATAGTAGCTGCATTATTCTAGGTGTGAGGAATAAGAAAAAGAGGGCTCCAAGAAGAATCAGTTAATTGCCAAATCTTCTTTAAAATTTTCCTACATGTTGCTTAAAACCACCTGGTTCACTAGTCTGGTGCCAGGAACCCAGTCGTGTAAATATGTGTTTCTCCTGAAGATTCACTGCCCCCAGCTAGTCTCTCTTGTGTTCTCAGCCATGTTCCCACCCCGTTTTCCTACACACTGCAACCAGGGTTACCTGTCAAAAACCAGATCTGACCAAGTCACTCTTGTTTAATACCCTTCACTGGCTCCCATCTTCTCTCGGGATAAGGCCAACTCTTCAACGTGAGTGGATATACAAGTCCCTTTATAATTTGGCCTTTGCTCCCCTTTCTCTCACCTTATTTCTTGTCACCCCACCGCCAGGCTGCCCAACGGGATGGAATTATTTTCATTTCCTTGCTTCTGCATGTAGACTTTCTTCTGTGCATCTCTGCTGCTTGGAACTCTTCCTTCTGCCTGCCTGAGTTCCACTATTCTTCACGATGTTTTCTGTCTCTTTCTAGGCAACACGTCCACTGGGATAGTACACTATTCTTGTCCCTGGGGCAGCCTTAAAACCATCTTCCCAGAGTAGAAACTCCAGATGTCTATTCAGCATTATGTGATCCAGGCTGGCAGAGGGCCGGGATAAATATTTGGTAAATAAATGAACAAATGGACAGTGGATCTCTCCCTAAAGAGTTCATAAATTAGAAGGAGAGATTACGTGTGTGTACATATACAAATAGGTATACATGATAGAATGTGGCAAACTTTGAAAATATGGAGGGTTTTTTTCCCTAGTTCAGGGAATCAGAAAAGGTTTCACAGAAGAATTAACAGTTGATTTGAATCTTCAAGAAATAGGTAGAATTTACATGATTATTAAGAGGTATATTCAAAGTAATGAATATGTGCAAAATATTGCACTTTAAAAATGAACTATATGAAAGCAGATGTCCAAAGGCCAAGCAAATATCATAAACAAGAGAAGCTGGCCACATTGGTTTCCTAGGGACATTTAGTCTTTTGAGCTAATATATTTTGCATATTTAATTCACTTTTTTTTTCATTTCCATGAAGAAATAGATTCTTTTTTTTTTTTTTTTTGCCTTGTTCTGAAGATTTTCTCCTCACAGTTTGTCGTTTGATAAAGAATACCACTTTTCACTTTGCTGAAAGAAAACGAGACCACCAGCCTAATAGTACAGGTTTCCCATGTCTGGCACCGGGTGGATGGAGGTGGCCTGGTTTCTGGGCTATCCTGATAGCCCAGTGAAGCCAAATTCTGCTTTTCAGGAGAAGCTGGAAATCTGGACTTGTGTGAAATCATTTGCCTTTTTAAAATATTGGCAAGTTACTAGGATGATTTAAAAACAACTTAGGGGCCAAATCAAATGCATGTAAGAGTTGAGATAGCCTCTCGTCCACAACAGGAGGTGCTAAGTACATCTAGAATTGTTCTCTTTAATTCTCTGTAAATAACTCACAGAAAATGTGAGGTGATTTTACCCCTAAAAGTTCTCAGTGGCCTAAAATAACCATGTATAAATATAAAACATCTAAAATTTTCAGTAAGGATATTAGAATCCCAACAATGCTTCTTGTTGGGCCCCATGCTAAGCCCTACCCTGTCACAAATAGACATGGTCTCTGAACGAATGTACAGTGTGCTGGAACTATCTTTATGTGGTGTGGATCTTTTCAAAGTAAAATTATTTTTTAAAAATAAATTCATCCTTAATGCATTCTGTAATAGCAACTAACCTGTGAAGTAGTTTATGAAAGTTAGTTGTGAAAACTAAACCATATATAATGTGGCCATGAGAAGCATTTAAAAGAGATGAAGTTGTTACCTGATGTATTCCATATCTTAAAACTTCTGTGTACACTGTCTTCTACAAAAACTGAGCACCCTGCAAAATGAGCGTTCGAGGAACGCCCATTTGAAGAGGAATGGAGAAAAAAAAGAAAATGGTATATTTCTAGTTTCATCTCATTTTAAATCCTATCTAACATGGAATATTATTTACTGTAAGGGAAAACCAAACTGCACAAGTTGAAGCTGCAAGAGAGCCTTGAAATGTTAAGCCTGCCCATAGATTTCTGTTGTCATCTTTGAGAGGAAAGAATATGATTACCAAAAATATGATTGCAATGTTATTTGCTTTCCAAGATGACTTGATTTACACAAATTGTGAGCAGATATATCAACATGCTTTTTTCATCAGCTTTTTAAGAACTGTGAACTTGTTTCAACTCTCTTTGGACTACAATGTGGACTTTGATATTATGGATAGGTTTTTTTGTTTTTCAAGTACTATGACAGTGTCATAGGTGATTCCCCTTTTTCATAGGATTGTATATTTCATACACTGTTATCTCCCTTTCACCACTTAATAGCTCTCTCCTGACTACATAAATATTGTTTACTTACCACACTATACAACCTGTCAAATAGTAATAAGCATTACTTTCTTTGACTGCCTCTCTTGTCTGTCGATTTTGAGCATAATTTATGAAACTGTGTGATGAGGTCTTTTCCATTCAGATTAGACAAGTTTCTGAATCTGCATCCAGCTGTACATTGTTAAATCCATAAAGCCAGAAACCCAGCCTGCCTTTCAGAATTCTTATATTTAATCATTTATGTAATTTCCAAAAGGGTCTCTGCTTCTTTGAAAAATGGTGTTATAGTGCCACCGTGTGGCCTTTTAAAATTAGAGTCAGTTTATAACAAGCTACTTCTGAGCTATCCTTTTGTTTTAGTAATAATTCATTTTTCAATATTATTGACTCAAAGGGCATTTTTAAACAAAGAAGGTCTTCACTATTTCCACCACTGGTGTGACTTCATTTAGCTGTTTAAAGGTGTTTGGATTGAAGACATAATTTCTTGATTTTATTTTTGTAGACTTTGTTTGAAGTATCAGAATTCCATTGTGTTGATGATGCATACTTGCATATTTCTAATTAATAATTCACTTTACCAATTTGGAAACAGTTGCACACAGGCATAGGAAGAGGCTATTCAGTGGTTATATCTTGAACTACATTTAGGAACAGTGCTTCTGAACCGTCTCAGTCATTTTGACTTTCTTTCTCAGACCTGAACCTCTGCGTGCTTGATAGGGTTCAGTTGAAGATGAACTGGGGCTTGATTTTTTCACTAATTTTGTTTGTTACCCATTCTGTGTGACCTCTACTGTTGTGTTGTTCCATTGTTAAGTTGTGTCCAACTCTTTGCAACCCCATGGACTGCAGCACTCCAGGTCTTCTGTGTCCTTCACTATCTCCTGGAGTTTGCTCAGGTTCATGTCCATCGAGTCAGTGATGCCATCCAACCATCTCATCCTCTGCTGCCCACTTCTCCTGCCCTCAATCTTTCCCAGCGAGTCAGCTCTTCACATCAGGTGGCCAAAGTATTGGAGCTTCAGCTTCAGCACCTGTCCTTCCAGTGAACATTCAGGGTTGATTTTCTTTAGGATTGACTAGTTTGATCTCCTTGCTGTCCAAGGGACTCTCAAGAGTCTTGCGTGATCTCTGCTGCTGCTGCTGCTAAGTCACTTCAGTTGTGTCCGACTCTGTGGGACCCCAGAATCGGCAGCCCATCAGGCTCCCCCATCCCTGGGATTCTCCAGGCAAGAACACTGGAGTGGGTTGCCATTTCCTTCTCCAGTGCGTGAAAGTGAAAAGTGAAAGTGAAGTTGCTCAGTCCTGTCCGACTCTTAGCCACCCCATGGACCGTAGCCTACCAGGCTCCTCCGTCCATGGGATTTTCCAGGCAAGAGGACTGGAGTGGGGTGCCATTGCCTTCTCCTTGATCTCTACTAGGTTGAGCTAATTTGGCATAATTCTATGTCAAAAAGCAGAATTTTGGTTCATGAGGGGAAGGAAAAGCAAGGTTTAGAACAATTAAATAAATGCCTATTCCAAGTGTAAGCTTCAGGTAGTCCATAATTTTTCTTTAATAGTATTTTTTGTAATCTTTGTGTAATGAATTGTGAAATTATTGACTTGGATATTTTAAAGGATTCTTTGTGTAATTATTTTTTTGTTGTTGCAATTTCATATTTTTAAGAAGTTATATGCCAAGTCTTAAGCACTTTATTTAAAAAAATCTGCCCAACAAGTTCTACCATAAATAAGCCTGCATGGAAATACTGCTGCTGTGTGATTTCAGTGTCGGAAGTCTCAGCTGCTGTGAGAGAGCAGCCTTGGAAACTAGGGAGTTGACACAATTCCCTGGTAGATGTGTTAACAGTAAAAAATGGATATCAGAAATTATGGGGACTTCCCCAGTGGTCCAGCAGGTAAGACTCTGCTTCCCAGTGCAGGGGGCACGGGTCTGATCCCTGGTTTGTGGGATTAAGACCCCACATGCTGCGCGATGCGGCCGAAAGAAAAATAAAGACTGCTGTTAGCGTTTCCTAAAGTTTAACTTTTATTTCTGAATGAAGTCAGCATATAGATGAAAGAATATGTGGACTTGTTAAGACGGAATATTTAATGGGAGTCTGTCTCAAAAATAAAGATTTATCAACTGCTAAGATTTTTTTAATGATTCTTAAAATTATTTTCTCCATGCTTAATGAATGTTCAACTTTGGTAAATAAGTTGTAGCACCAGTATATAATATTTTAAGATATGTTACCTTCATTTTAATATATCACATCTTTTAACACTATAGGCTTCCTTTGAAACAATCTGATTTTTTAGAAATCATCTTCCTAAAATGTTCTTTTTTAATAGAAAAAGTTACGCCGATCACAGCATGCTCGCAAGGAGACAGAGTTCTTACGGCTCAAGCGGACCAGACTTGGCCTGGATGACTTTGAGTCTCTGAAAGTTATAGGAAGAGGAGCGTTTGGAGAGGTGTGCTTCTTTTTTAAAGTCGCCGCTATTGAAAATATGTATCTTAAGATAGTAGCTTCATATGTAAGTAGTGTAATGTGTTAAAATGTGTATTAAAGTAGCTGTATTTTAATAGAATTTCTAAAATAACCAGCAACAGCAAATTACAGCACTGCTTTCTTTAAAGGAGCCTCCCTTTCACCCCTACATAAATAGCAGTGACTGAAATTGGTGCTGTGAATTTTACATTCAAGGTGCGGCTGGTCCAGAAGAAAGATACAGGCCATATCTATGCAATGAAGATATTGAGAAAAGCTGATATGCTTGAAAAAGAGCAGGTAAGAGCTCTTTAGCACATGTAACCAAAAGAACATCCGCTGGCGAGGTGTTAGAGTAAGTGTTAAAACTGGGACTTTTTTTTTTTAAACTGGGACTTTTAAGAAAGAGAAACCTACACATCTTACTATTTAATTGATTATAGATTTTTTGGTAGCCTGTTTCATTGTTTCTCTCTGGTTAAAATTTCTTCCAAATTCATAATCTATCTTATGTGTTCAGGCTGTCATAACAAAATACCACAGACTGGGTGACTTAAACAACAGAAATTTCTTTTCTGATAGCTCTGGAGGCTGGAAGTCCCAGAGCAAGGCAGGATTTTGTTGCTGGTGAGACCTCTCTTCCTGGCTTGCACACAGCAGTGCAAGTGCCCACATAGCCTTTCCTTGGTGTGTGCAGAGGGCAGAGAGTGACCCCCTGGGGTCTCTTCTTATAAGAACACTATCCCTCCCTGCTTATGACCTCACTAAACCTACCTCCTTAGAGGACGCCATCTCCAAATCCAGTCACAGTGGGGTTTAGTGCATCACCATGGGAATTTTCAGGGAGAACACGAGCCTTCAGTTCACAGCAAAATACCTTCTTCTCTGACTTCACTAAAAATAAAGGACAGTTCTCAGCACTCTTAGTCCCTATTACCCATCAAATAAGCAAACCAGTCTCCTAAGAATTTGCTGATTTTATTACACATATTTCAAAATCTGTAAAGGGCCCCTCTTGTGGCTTGGATGGTAAAAGATGTGCCTGCAATGCAGGAGACCCAAGTTTGATCCCTGAGTTAGGAAGATCCCCTCAAGAAGGGATTGGCTACCCACTCCCATATTCTTGCCTGGAGAATTCCACGGACAGAGGAGCCTGGCGGGCTACAGTCCATGGGTTACAGAGTCAGAGACGACTGAATGACTAACACTCTAACACTCAAGTTCTATAACCCCTCCAGTTTTGTACTCCTGAGCTCTCTCCATCTTTCCTGTGACTTGGTGCAATTTTGGGGTGACCATGAATCTGAAGACATCGATTGTTGTTGTTCTAGTATTTTATGCATCCAGCTGAGGAGACATTGTTAGAATCCTGAGTGAATATGTATGCTAGTGAAAGACTCAACAGTGTGAGGGTGCAGAGGGAGATGGTACCTCCCTGGACCTAAAGCTGAACTGCACTGTTAGTCCCACCGAAACTCACTTTGTTATCATAACAGTATGATACCGATTTTTCATTTAAATATGGCCCAATTGAATTTTCACTGCATTATTTCACTTTATTTCTGTTCCATTCATTCAACAAGTATTTATTAGGTGCCTACAATGTGTCAAATACTATTCTAGGTTCTGGAAATACAGTGATTAACAGGTAAAACCTGAGTCTTATTCACTGACAGTTGTGGGGAAAATGACCAGACAGCTGTTTGAAATAGCCATGTCTGCTGAGTACTGTGAAGATAGACTTTACAAAAGGATGAAGTCATGCAGATGACTTGGCTTTAGGAGAAGGAATTAGATGAGGGAAGGTCCTCTGCAAAGAGAATATTGACGACAAAGAGTGAGACCTAATGATCAGGTAGAATGAAGATCCAGAGGCCCTGCGACAAAAAGAATCTTGGTCTGTTCAGAGATGGAAAGAAGCCACTGTGGCTAGAATTCAGGGAGGGGAAGAGTGGTGGGAGATGAAGTGGGAGAAGGAGGCAGGGAGCAGATCACACAGAGCCTTGATAGTCGAAAAATGGTGTGTGGGTCCCCCTCCAGAAGCAGTGGGAAGACACTCTTTTGCTTGAATGAGAACTGACATGTCTGCTGGATGCTTGGCAAAGATGGATCAGCCCCTTAGCTTGCAGGCAGGACAAACAAGAGTTGGAGCCGGGAGAACACTTGAGAGACTGTGTAGCCGTGCCAGCCAGGATGTGATTGCGACTTACACAACGGTGCATGCTTTCTCAGTTGCTTCAGTCGTGTCCGACTCTGTGCAACCCTGTGGACTGTAGCCCACCAGGCTCCTCTGTCCATGGGATTCTCCAGGCAAGAATACGGGAGTGGGTTGCGTTCCCTCCAGGGGATCTTCCCAACCCAGGGATGGAACCTGAGTCTCTTATGTCTACTGCATTGGCAGGCAGGTTCTTTACACCTAGCACCACCTGGGAAGCCCTGTACAACAGTACAGGATTACAACAGTGAAGTGGAAGAAAAGTCACAGACGAAGTGTCTGACCTCATGGAAGAGCCAGCAGGATTTTCTGTGTCCTACTCTATATTGGGAGTCAGAGGAGGGGCAAGGATAGTGAGAAAAGAGGGAAGAACCAAGGATAATTCCCAGAGTTGTACCTGGGAATGGGATGCTTCATGGTGTCGTTTTCTAGTGTAGAGAAGACAGAGAAAGCAGGTCGTTTCTGACCACTCACTCTCCAGGAAGACAGGACTCTCTGCAGACAGCCTGCTTTCAGGATGACAAGGTGACAGGAACGTCCAGAGATTCGGTGACAGGGGTTTTGTTGAACACAGGCTGATCTACAAGGAAAAGGTTAGAAGGCAAGGGAGGTCAGATATTGAGATGTGTTAGAGAATTACAGATAATGATGGAAATAAACATCTGGGTTAAGATGTAGAGCCTCCAAGATTAGGAGATAAACAGGAAACTTCTAACTAAGCCATATGGACTTAGTCCTGGATTGAGTTTTAGAGAAAAGACTAAAGCAGAAGTGAGTTCTAGCCTGTAGTCTTTAGGTAACTGGCCACATGTGGCTGCTGGGCTTGAGTGTAGCTAGTCTGAACTGAAATATGCTGTGAAAAGGAAAATGCCCTACCAAATTTTGAAGACTTGGTGTCCCCTACCTCAAAAAAAAAGTATAAATAAATACCTCAATGATTTTTATGTTGATTACATGCTGAAATGATAACATTTTGGACGTATGGGGTTTACAAAAACTACATTGTTAAAAATAATTCCACCCATTTTTTTTTTTTTTATCTTTTGTGTGGCTACTAGAAAACTTAAAATGACATGCATGGTTTGCATTTATTTCTGTTGGACAGCCCTGGTCTAGAATTTTTGCAGGAGAATCTTCACTGTAGTCCAACATCAAATCAAGTCTCTTTTGCACTTTGGGGTTGTTTTTTTTCCTATATATAAATTAATTTGCTTTTGTCACCATTGAATTTCATTTTAGAAAATGCTTTTCCCACTTAATTCTAATATATTATTTTTTAAGTTTTTATCACTCTGCAAAATTAAATAGCAACTTATCTCTCCACTTTCCTGGTGGCTCAGACAGTAAAGCATCTGCCCACAATGCATGAAACCTAGGTTTGATCCCTGGCTTGGGAAGATCCCCTGGAGAAGGAAATGGCAACCCACTCCAGTATTCTTGCCTGGAGAATTCCATGAACAGAAGAACCTGACAGGCTACAGTCCTTGGGGTCGCAAAGAGTCGGACACGACTGAAGCGACTAACATATCCCCCCACTGTTGTGGTTCCAGATTACTGTGGATGACATTTCTTCTGCTTTAGAAACCTAGGTCCATTTTGAAAACATACCTGTAATATGGCTTTAAGATACTTAAAAATGATTAATCAAGCCAAGTTTATGATGTTGTTGTTTATCTTGACAACACCAGAGGCAGTACCAGAGTTCATTTTTCCTTTACCATCTCAAAATGCTTTGTAAAAGGTGCTAGGTAGGAATTTCAGTATAATTTTTTACTTTATGAAACAGGTCCAAAGAAATTTTAAGTTTTTTGATGCCAGAAAACAAGTTTTTAATGTTTATTTTTGTGCTTTGATTTTGATCTTAGAGCATTTACTGTATCAGACCATAATACAGTAACCTCAGTTATTTTAAGCAGAGCATATTTTGTTATAAAGAAAAGGTTTACAAAATCTGTATCCTCATATGCTTTAGGCCAGAGTTCATAATGGCACACAATGAAAATAGCAAAAACATAAAATCAAATTATTCTATTGTTAATTCATATTTGAAGAAAGAATGTATAAATGTATCAGTGGGCAAATGTCGGAAAATTAACTGTACCAACCCCAACCACTCAATTTGTTCACTGAGTGAACAAATCACTCAGTTCATGAAGTTTTTCAGTCTCCAAAATGTTCATTTAATAGTAACTGTAGTAATTATGTGTCTGGCAAAAGTCAGTAGCAAAATCTCAAAAAGTTATATAAGAATTTACTGTAGATCATGTTTATGGATATTATAAAGGTTTATTATAACAAAATAATATAAAATTATTGTAAATGTTTCAACTTCTTAAAACAACCTAACAGTTAAAGGCCAAGTCAGGCCCTATGTCGGACTAGTAACAATTAAAAATAGTTTGTTGAGGACCCTGACTTTGTCATACCAATCTATAGGGCATTGCTCACTACTTAACTTTTAATAAAAGTCAGACCGGGACCCTAAATTTATATGACAAAGCCAGGATCCTTGGTTAGGTGGAGATTCTGGTTAGAAAACCTTTAGACTAATCATTTTTCTACCTCAAAAGTCTCAGCTTCCTTTTGTGATCCCACCTTTTCAGACCTGAAGATATCAGCTAAAATAAACTGTTTCCTGAATTTCTCCATATTTAATGAGAATATGGTAATTGTTAATAAGTAAGCTTGAAAAATGTGTAACATGTTACAATTATTTTTTCAAAATACATTCATCCAGGTGGCCCATATCCGAGCAGAAAGAGATATTTTGGTAGAAGCAGATGGTGCCTGGGTGGTGAAGATGTTTTACAGTTTTCAAGACAAGAGGAACCTTTATCTAATCATGGAATTTCTCCCTGGAGGTAAAAGCAAATGTAATAGCAATGACAGGCCAACACACACACATCTTTATATCTAGCTATGATTTTATTTATTATGTAAGTCAGTAAGCTAGGGATATTTCATACTTCTGGCTCTGAGGTTTTACACAGTCATAATTTTCTAATCATTCCTCCCATAATAATACTGATTTGAACCACAAATCAGATTATTTTGAAGAAATGATAAAGCTGGCACATTTTTAATATTATCATTCTGTTTAATATATATAATTTTTTAGATCTTCGCAAGTCTAGAGTTGAGAACAAGTCCCCAAAGAAGAAGACAGACAGCCCAGTGGGCCAATGATAGGTGGGGTGAGGAGGAGAACTCTGGTTGGTCCACAAATAGATAAGAAAGCGTTCAGCTTTACTCATATTCAGGGAAATGCAAATTAAAACAAGAATGAGATTCCATTTCACACTCAACCATCTGATTGGTAGAAACATTAATAGTCTGATTGTGGGGGAAACCTGGCCTCTCATCTGTGCAGAAGAATCTCTGACTCTTAGGGAGAGCAGTTCAGAGATGCCAGGAAAGTTAAAGAGGCGTGTGTCCTACAGTCAGGGGTTCTTCCCCACATGTGCACAAGAGGCCTCATGGCAGCATTGTCATAAGAGTGAAACCCTAGATGCAAGGTGACTGTCCATCAGTAGAAGAATGGATAAGTAAAACATGGCATAATTATGTCATGAAGTATTTTACAGTAGTTAAAAGTCAGGAGCTGTATTTGATTCAACAGTAAGATCTCAGAAGCCAAGAGAAATAAAGCAAGCTGTGGAATTATATGTACAGTTGATATCACTTATGTAATTTTAAAACCATAAAAAAGGACTCTGAATTCATAGATTAATATATATGCATCTGAAAACATTTCAAAAATAAGCTGGAAGAACACACACCAAAGCAAATCCATGATAATGGCGACTCAGCAAAAAGAGGAAGGGGACTAGAATGGAAACAGAGGATAAAGAATCTGTGTGGTTTTTTTTTTTAAAGACTTGAAGCATCATGAAAAAATATTAACAGTTGTCAATTCTGAGTTGTAAATTTACGAGTGTTTCTTCTTTGTCCCTTGTAAAAGAGCAAGATTTCTTGGGAACAAGAATGCCTAGAAGTGACCCTTTTGGTGGGATAATGACTTACCTTTGTTAGCCCAAAGAGTGCTGAGTGCTTTTGAAACTTAAATTTGAAAGGATATATCCCATTTCCAGATGCGCTTACACGCATTCATTTTCCCAGTTTGATATATTTTCCTCAGCAACTTATTTCTGGATGTTGAGTGGTAGATACTACATCATTATCAGTTCTGCTATGATTTGATTTCAGGTACTTTCTACCTTAAAACTATTACATGTCATGAAACTTTTCCTTATGCAATGAGACTTTTTATTTGGCCCTATAGATGGTTGGAAGTACTCTGGGTAGATCATAAAATGCAGAAATGAGGCTTAAGTTGTGTATTACAAAGACATCTTTTACAAAACATTCCCTCTTTTGAGGCGTTACTAATACAGGGTACTTACTCTCATTTACTTAGGTGACATGATGACATTGCTAATGAAAAAGGACACTTTGACAGAAGAGGAAACACAGTTCTACATTTCAGAGACTGTTCTGGCAATAGATGCGATCCACCAGTTGGGTTTCATCCATCGGGATATTAAACCAGACAACCTTTTGTTGGATGCCAAGGCATGTGAATAAACTGGTGAATTACTAGGTTACTGTTTTATGCTGTAATAGAGGTGATTTTGTGATTGGAAATGGGCAACTGCAATTTATATGACTGCTGTCCTACATTATTTCATAAACTGGTGCAATAGGAGAGAGCCCTTGAAGTGAAATGACCTCAAGGGAAAATTGGCTGTCTTTTTATCATCTTCCATTTTCTCCTTCTTAAAATAATCAACATCAAATATTGGTAATTTTGCACTTCACCTGTAGGAGTTCTAAGCTAAGAATTTTTATGATTGCATTTAGAAGAAGAGTTTTAAATAAACCCTTTGTCTCTAATGATTTTATGAGGTTTTTTCCTTTTTTCCTTAGGGTCATGTAAAATTATCTGATTTTGGTTTGTGCACGGGATTAAAGAAGGCTCATAGGACTGAATTCTACAGAAATCTTACCCACAACCCACCAAGTGACTTCTGTAAGTTGGATTTTTTTTCGAGTTAAAGTAGTCCAGCTGGTTTAATCCAGGACTATTGAGAACTGAAGCTTCTGTCCTTCTCCTCAACCCTTAAACTGGTGTGTTTTCAATGCATGTGTGTGAATTTGTGTTTTGGTAATAGTTTTCCCCTCATAATTACAATTCTGTCTCATTGAAATTAGCATTCCAGAACATGAACTCAAAGAGGAAAGCAGAAACATGGAAGAAAAATAGGAGACAACTGGTAAGTAGCTACATTTGGAAGAAAGAATTTTGTGCCCTGGTCCTAAAATCTCATTTGGTATTTGTTTTATAATTTAGAGCTTCACAATAATTAGTTCTTACTTCCTAGCAGTGATAGAGCTTGTTCTGAAATAGTATAGCTTTCTTAATTTTTCTGTAACATTTCCGTGCCTGTAAAGGAAAATGCCACTTTTATATTTTATGATTTCACTTCAGAGTATTTTATCAAGCATATCTATAATTATGTATTTGTCTGTTTACCAGTACTAACACTTTCTATAAAACTCACCGAGATGAGTGTGTGTGCACGCTAAGTCACTTCAGTCTTGACTTAGTGCTCTGACTTAGTGCTCTTGTCTTGACTTACTGCTTAGTAGTGCTCTTGACTTAGTTGCTCTGTGCAACCATATAGACTGTAGCCTGCCAGGCTCCTCTGTCCATGGGATTCTCCAGTACTGGAGTGGGTTGCCGTGCCCTCCTCCAGGGGATCTCCCAACCCAGGAATCGAACCTGTGTCTTTTGCATCTACTTGCATTGGCAGGCGGGTTTCTTTACTGCTAGCACCACCAGGGAGATGAGTGTAAATTGTAGTAAATGCTGAGTGATTTTCATGTTTCCATTTTCTGTTCCTGTCCTGATACAACAAATATCAGTCAGCATAAGTAAGGTTATTGTGTGTTTCTAAGAACTTTATAGACAAAGTAAACATAAGGTTTGTTGTTATGTTAATAGTGTTACAATAAAATAGAATTGAAAAGCAGACTTTACCGCAAATAAACTTAATGACTCCTTTAATGCCCAACAGCACTGTCTGTTTTTAACCCTACAAGCTTTCTCCTCCATTACTTAGCAAATATTAGAATCATTTGTCCCTTTTCCTCTTTCCTTTTATCCTGTGAACATTGTCAAGGTTACGAATGTGCCTTTTGACTTTAATTTCCTTACTTCTTGTATAATGCCTGGAACATATCGACAGATATCTATAGATATTCGTTAGATTCTGCCAAGTGACGAAGAGAAACTTACTCAGCAGTCCCTCAGGAAGGGAAACAGACTGAAAGGCAAGAGTCTGGTACCCTCTCAAAGCAAGTAAAATGACCTTTGCATTATTGAACTCATTCTCTCATTAGCCCAAGTAAACTTTTTGTGCTTGTAAAACATTTTGGTGTTTTAAAGTTTTCAAAAATATTTTTTAAATGTTTTGAGCTCTGCATTAATGACAGAATATTCCTTCTACTTCTAAGTGTGCCACTTTTAGATCAGATTTTATAATTGAGAAAAAAATTGCCATATTTCCCACTTTTAAAGGGAAATATGAATACTGCCTAAACTATGGTGGAAATTCTGTACCCCCCAATTACAGGGTATTCACAATCATTACTCATGTGCAGGTTTTACTGTTCTTGTGACCATCATCATGACTTACATCAGTGTTTTCCAGTGAAGAAATAGAGCGGACTCTTGGTGTTTGGGGCAGGAAATTCCTTTAGAGCCTACATCCCCCACCACTAAATGCCAATCATGTCCTTCCCCAGATCACAGAAATGTCAAAATCTGCTGTTACACATTTTCAAATGGCCCCTAGAGTACTACCTGTAATAGAAAATTGCTGCCTTAAAGAAAGTTTTTGTAAGGTTTTATAGGAATTAAGAATGAAAACCTGCATTGCTTTCTAATAGATAACCAGTGCCCTGGAAATGAGTTTATAATGAAAATACCTGATGTTTATATGGGAGGGTGTGGTTTACAGACACATTCCTTTGCTTGTTTCATCCTTGTACCCACTCTGTTAGGGCAGGAATTATTAGTCCAGTTTTATGTAAGCAGAAGTTGAGATTCAAAAAGGCTGAATAACTTGCCCGAGAGCGAGTATTGAGTGGAGAAGCCAGGCCGACTGAACACAACCTTTTTATTCTTTTTTGGACTGGATGTAGGACTGAATACATAAATAACTTAGTTGAGCTCTTTAGGGACAGAAATCATGTCTTAACATATTATCTGATTCCATGCCTGTCACTAAGCCTTACACATGATAAAATGCAAAACACATATTAGATTCAAAATTAACTTCTGTATATTTTAGTTTTTCCAGTAGTGAGCCATACTCAGATCTTTCAAAAAAAATATGTGTATATATATATATATATATATATATATATATATTGAGGACACACTGGTTTGATAAGCTGTTTCTTTGCAGGCATATTCAACAGTTGGGACACCAGATTACATTGCTCCGGAAGTATTCATGCAGACTGGTTACAACAAATTGTGTGACTGGTGGTCTTTGGGAGTAATTATGTATGAAATGCTAATAGGTATGTTTTATTATTCATTTAAGCACATACCATATAAATCAGTGCCACTGACTGAACATACTGTAGATATTATGGGCTAAAATATCTGAACTCTTTAAGCTGATTCCTGGCATCCCCCAATGTTAAATACACAATGATAAATATCAGTGAGCTCTCTAGGGATCCTGTGTCAGGAAGGGGGCATTTAACCAGAATTCCCAGGTATCTAAATTGTATCTGTGTGACCTTTTAGGTGAAAGAGGGGCAATGCTTTAAATCCTTTATTTTGTTGACTTTATAAGCCATTTTATTATAAATGGATGAATGGTGATTTTTTTTTTTTTATTGTTAAGTACAGCGCTCAGGCTTATTTTGTTTTTTTGTGACATGTAGATAGTAGGTGCAGCAAATTTGATCATAAAGGCTAATGAAACCTTATTTCCTGTGATACATAGGATATCCACCTTTCTGCTCTGAAACACCTCAAGAAACATACAGGAAAGTGATGAACTGGAAGGAAACTCTGGTATTTCCTCCAGAGGTGCCTATATCTGAGAAAGCCAAGGACTTAATTCTTAGGTTAGTAGTTAAATCTCTTAAAGAGGTTATGGTATCGTAAGGCCTCATGGGGACCTAAAAGATTAAATTGCCTATTTCAGTTTTGTGGGAAGAAAAAGACTATCACTGATCTATACAGTCAAAGGACTCGGTAAAGAAGAGGCATTTTGGCTTTTTTTTAATGCAGATTCTTAAAAGGTAATATGCAGTACAAAGAAAAAGAGTTAAGAAGAGGGAAGAAGTCTTATATTATTTCAAAGGTCACTCTGTTGGATTACAGTGACTTTATCCCCTAAAGAGAAAGGGAAAATAAATTCTTAGTAGCAGTTCACGTCACAAAAGTCTATTTAAGAAAAACACCAATACAGTATATTAACACATATATATGGAATTTAGAAAGATGGTAATGATGACCCTATATGCGAGAGAGCAAAAGAGACACAGATGTAAAGAACAGACTTTTGGACTCTGTGGGAGAAGGTGAGGTGAGATGATTTGAGAGAATAGCATTGAAACATGTATATTATCAAATGTGAAACAGATCACCAGTCCAGGTTCGATGCATGAGACAGGGTGCTCAGGGCTGGTGCACTGGGATGACCCTGGGGGATGGGATGGGGAGGGAGGTGGGAGGGGTGTTCAGGATGGGGAACTCATGTACACCCATGGCTGATTCATGTGAATGTATGGCAAAAGCCACCACAATATTGTAAAGTAATTAGCCCCCATTAAAAAAAAAAAGTCTATGTATGAAACCTTTTCTAAGCAAAGGAGTCCATTCTTCTTCTCAACTAAGATGAAGTGTTTAGGTTCTCTTGTGGATTCCTAGAAGGAATATGAATTGGGACAATCTATGGGAACAGCCAGTTGGTAGCATCCTATTAAAAAAAAAAATCTTCAAACTGTCTTTGACCTTTGACCCAGTAATTCTACTTCTAGGAATTTTGCATATGCAGATAATCAGATGTGTGTAAAGGTTTAGGGTATATTATGTTATCTTGATACTATTTTTAATAATGAAAAATTGAAAATCATCTAAATGTCTGGCAATGGTGGACTAGCTAAATAAATTGTAGTGTTTCCACTACTTTAGAAAACAAATGTATAGAAAAATAGTTGAATGACTTTGGGAAATGTTCTCAGTATGTTAAGTGAAAAAAAGCAATAATGGAGACTCCTTATCAACACCATAGTTTTGAAATTACAGTAAAAGACTGGAAGGAAGTGGTCTCAAACTGTTTGCAATAGTTATATCTGAATAATGCAGTTATAGACGATTTCTATTTTTCCTCACATTTCTCACAATAGAGTTAACTTCAGTAAACAGGAAAAAAAGATTAAATGTTTGAAATAATGCAGAGTACTTGAGATGTAGTCTGCATATTATAATTTCTCTGTTTCCATCTTCTAGGTTTTGTATTGATTCTGAAAATAGAATTGGGAATAGTGGAGTAGAAGAAATAAAAAGTCATCCTTTTTTTGAAGGTGTCGACTGGGGGCACATCAGGTATATTTACAGGCTTTGAGTGGGATAAGGCCGTGTGAGTGAAAACTTTCTACTAGATTTGGTGATTAATTTATCTCTGATTCTGATAGATTAAATACAAGAGGTAACATTGTGGTCATGTGATAAGTTCGTGTTTTCTGGATGATATAAATGCGTGAGACTGTAGTGGCTATAGCTGAATGACTCGTTTTATGTAACATCCACTTTAAGAAATAACCACATACTGTGGCCCTGTTTAGATTTTGACATGCAAAGTTACATGATGAAGGCTGTTAGCGCAACAAAGATGTAATTACATTTAACAGTGTATAACTATTTTTGTCCTCTCATATTCTATACTGTCTCTTTTATTAATTTTGAAGAATATACAGTCGCTCTTATAAACACTGTGAAAGTGAAAGTCACTCAGTCGTGTCCAACTCTTTGCAAACCCATGCACTGTACAGTCCATGGAATTCTCCAGGCCAGAATACTGGACTGGGTAACCTTTCCCTTCTCCAGGATATTTTCCCAACCCAGGGATAGAAGCCAGGTCTCCCGCATTGTGAGAGAAGTTAAATAATGCAGGTAACTTTGAAGAACTGGTTTAGAGTTGTTTGCTGTGAGCATTGGCCTTTATTCATTTTGTGGCCAAACTGTCTTCAGCAGTTCTGGTCTCTCCCCCGCACAGCAACGGTTCAGAAACAAATCTGATTGTGCCATTTCCTTCCTTCTCTTTGCACTTAGAGAGTGACACTAAGGGTCCTTCCCTGCTTTTCAGGATCTTGGGATGTGATTCTTGCCTCGTCTGTAGAAGCTGCGTCTTGTGTGGTTTCTGCCCCACTCCTTCCACCCTAGGGCATTGTCATTAGCTCTTCATTTTGACAAAAGTGCTCTCTGGCCTCCCTGCCCTCAGTCCTGCCTCACCTAGGCTCGCCAGCCCCCCTTTCCACTTTCAAGACAGCTAAGTGTCCCTTCACTGGAGCTCCTATCATGTGCTAGACACTCTACCTGATTCTGGAGTAGGTATATTTGGGGGGCTGTTTATTATATGTCCAGCCCTGTTGTAAGTACTTTATGTACATTTCTCATCTTATCCTCATAATAAGCCTTAGTATTATCCCCATTTTACAAATGAGAAAACTAAGTCTCAGAGAAGTAATTTGCCTTACTGGTGCCTCAGCTAGTAAGTGATCTGGCTAGAACTGAATCCAGGCAGTGTGATTCCAGAGTCCTGACTCTGAACTGCCACACTGTATTTTACTGTCCATGTGTCATCTCATTAAGCAAAACTATTACATGATTCCCCCTTGTTACAGTTGAAAGAATGCTTATAGACTACCAGTCCAGTCTCCTGGTTTTATATGAGGGAAGAGTCACAATGTCTAAGGTCATTCTAATAATTAATTACTAGAGATTAGATCTCAGGGCACCAGAGTTTATATTTTTTTTACACTAAAGTAATATAAATTTATTAAGTTAGTACATTAAGTGTAAAAGGTTAGAATAATTCTGGGGAAAATATAAATGTGTTTTTACACAATTTTGTACACTTATCACCTAATCGATCAATAAGTACTTGCTGAAAAAATAGAAGCAATAAAAATTGATGAATTTCCTAAACTATTTTTAGCATGATACAAAAACATTTTCATGACTTACTATTTTTTTAACCTAATGACCCCAGTTCCCTTAAAATTTATATGACTGAGAAGTTTTTGGATTCAGATTTCATCACAAACATGTAGTCCCTTCACCGTTTGAGCCCCTTATTTTCCCAAATGACTTGATTTATCAAGTGGTGGATCCTCTACTAGAAGAATTCTATTCCTAAATTAATTAGGTTGGATTCTGGTCTCCACAATGTTTAGGGTACTTTATAGAATGATAAAATTGTTTAAATAAAATTCTCTGTTCTCCTTTCCCTTTCATTAACTATTCTTATTCTTCTTAAAAAAAAAAGCATAAGAAAGTCTTGATATAAAGAAATAAAATTCCAGGTAAATGATAATATTTTAATAAGAAAATTCTACTCAGCTATGAAATCCACTTAACTTCAGAAATTTCAGATCCATAATAAATTTCCTTGGCTCTTCTAATATCTATAGAATAGCATGCAGAATTTGCAAGTAGAATTAAGCTTTGGAAAACTGAGTTCAAGAAAACTTAACCATGGTTACTGAATACTATTTTACAGGGAAAGGCCAGCAGCAATCCCTATAGAAATCAAAAGCATTGACGATACATCAAATTTCGATGACTTTCCTGAATCTGATATTTTACAACCAGGTAAGATATTCTCACAGTTAACCACATTTAACAGACTATGAAAGTGATAACATATTTCATTAATGAAATTCCTTTGGTCTTGGTTAATTTTTCTATCTTTCCAGTGCCAAACACCACGGAACCAGACTACAAATCCAAAGACTGGGTTTTTCTCAATTATACCTATAAAAGATTTGAAGGGTTAACTCAGCGGGGCTCCATCCCCACCTACATGAAGGCTGGGAAATTATGAACGCAGACCACGTTGGCTCACGACCTAGAGAACTCAGGTAGCCGCATCACAGGCTTGCTTGGTATAGGTAACAATACACCGAAATACTCCTGATGACGGTGGTGCTTCTGACTACAAGAGGAGATTCTACAGGGTTAGGATTTCGGAGACTGCTACAGGAATTGGTTGGCAGTGCCAGCTGGCTTTTTTCTTTTTTTAATATTATTTTTGTTAACTTTATTATATGAAGGTACTGGAATAAAAGAAATGTACATCCCTTTCTAACTGCACTGCCTACACGCGTATTAAGGTCCATTCCGCCTGTGTGTGCCGTGGCTTTGTACTGTAACACCTCTAATCAATTCAGGAGAAACACATATCATTTAAAGCAACATAGGCTAACCTGTAGGTAACACTGCAGTATTGGCTGTTTTACTGCACACCTTATGGGTCTAGATAATCAATAAAAGCCATCTTCCATAGCTGGTATTAGAATACTTGCCCTATTGGTTTGGACATCTATAGAATATATATGAAGACAATTTCTGTAATGGTTTTAAGGCATTTTAAAAAGGAAATACACTGGGTTATTTAAAAAATAAAGTTTATCATCATGTTACTACACAAACTCCACAGTAGGGAGTAACAACTTTTGAATAAGGGGGAAGTTGAACAGCTTCACTCAAGCACTCCACTAATATATTTACTTTGCATTCAGAAATACTGATGACCTTTATACATGTATTCTGTATACTCATAGGGAGATGTACTGTATCATATAAAATGTAAAGTTGCTTTTCTTGTGACAAGAGGACTTCTTTTTTAATAAGAGGACATGGCATTATTTTAATTTGATTATGGTGAGTTGAATTGAAGAAATGACCATGAAGGCTGCTTGTAGAACTACTAGTGTATTTTTATTAAACTATTTTTTTAAATGTCAAACTTCTGATCATGTAAATGAACTTGTAGAGAACAAAGATCTATTTACTTTGGTTTTCTAGAAAGTTGTTACATATCATGGCTGGTTAACTTTTATTTGTTTTGATGAAAATTTTTCCTTTGATAGTACTTGTATTGTTGTGCCATTATTTTCTTATACTCCAAATGTACCAAAGATCCTGAACAGAGTGGATGTTCACAACTATGGGGGATTTTACTGTCCTGCGGGAATGCTGTCTTCAGATCTTTGATGGAGGCTAGCTCATTCAAGGGCCCTGCTGTTCATGTTTAGCTCCATCACTGTGGTTACTGTAAACGGAATTAAGGAAGTAAATGCAGGCCGGGGGCTTGTGATTAGAGGATGGGGGAGGTGATGTCAGCAGCAAATTCTTTGGGTATTCTCCTAAGAATGAGATAGTCTTTTCCAGCTCAACATTTTCATTTTAAAATAACTCTCTGAGTTTTTGGCTTCATCAGTAATAGTGGAGGAGTATTAATTTATCAAAGAATGGCCTAATGTTTGTCTTAACTGTTAACTAGTAGAATTTCTTTTTTAGATACAACAGTTACGAATGATCTGTGATCAGAATCTAAAATGATAATTTATTTGTATAGATGTTCTTCTAGTGGGGAAGAATTGCATAGGACCATTATGCAGATCTACAAAAGCTTTTATAAATGTTCCTGCTTGCTAGGGAGCTCCATGGTGTTCCAATAAGGCCATTCTGTTCTTTTTTTCTTCCTGCCCTGTTCTCCCCTTCCCTTTCTTCCCTTTCCTTCCTTTCCCTCCCCCCACCTTGCTTCCTTCCTCCCTCCCCTTTCCCTCCTAGTATTTGTTTGATACTTATTATGTGTTCACCTAATAGTTCATCTCCATTTTTCTTATGTGACCAAGTATCTAGGAGAGAGAACTATTAAAATTTTGGGGTTATCTCCTTTTGCTTAGCTCTTGTTTTTCTAATTACAACTGCCTCTAATTTTAAAAACTCTCTAACTTACATTTAGTTTTATGAGATTTTTCTCATCCCCCCTCCCCCACTGTTTTTTTAAAAAGGATGTTTTGCTAGTGTGAATGGGTAAGATACAAGGAAATTGCAACATACTCTGGTTCTACTATGGTAACTATTCTAGTATTAAAAACTTTCATTAATTTAAGTGAGAGAGAGATTGATATAAAGGAGCTGAATTACCTAGGTTTACCTTTTAACTGAATAAGAATAGAGCATTTTAGTTTCCATTTCCTTCATTCTTATTAATAGGAAGAACTTGGGGATAGTTATGGTTTCTTGGCAGCAGAAGGGCAGTTATGAAAGTTTACCTTGTTAAGATACTCATCTTTCCCTGGAGTTGAGTGATTCATAATCTTTGGGGTTCCCTCCTCATCAAAAGCATTTCTTAAGTGCCTATCTAAAAGCAATTAAAGACTGTGTCTGCCCTTTGGAAGCTAAGAATTTGATTCATAAAGCAAATTAGCTAGATAATTTGCAAAGTACCCTTGAGCTTGAATTTTCTCTATTATATACTTCCCATATTTCAGGTGAACCATTTAATTTAAATGACAAAACCCTATCTAATTGACAGAGCATAATGACATTTTCTTTAAATTAGACTCTATTTTGAATTAAAGAGTTTTGTTATAAACTGTGTGTTTTTGGTTTTTCTAAGTATATAGAAAGCTTGTATAATTCAGATTTGTTGATTTCCTGATTTAATGTAGACTTTGACTTTTTTTATTAAAAAACCTTTGTATTAAAGCAAGTTATGTTTTTTTTTCTTTTATGCTTTTCTTCTTAACATAGCTTTAAATATTTAAATTTATTGAAGCATAGTGCTATCTGAGAATAGGAAATTTATTATCAACCTTTACTGAATGGAATATATATCTGATTTAATAAGCTATTAGTTGAATGGAAAATAACAAGTATGGAATATTCAAAACTGGTTGCTTAGGGTTAAGATAGGGTCTCATTTATTTCTGTAATAATATACTTTTTCTGTTTTTTTAAACACCTGTTATCTTTGTGTAGATCTGTAACTCTTACAATATGTTTAAGTACACTTATTTTTGGTATTTTATTGTAGAAAACCTTTAGACAATCAACCCAGCAGTATCTACTGGTAGGAGAAACAGCTATTCATCTATCAATGATCTGCAAAGAAATTGATTGAAATTTTAGTCAATAGAGAGGTCCCTGCCTACAAAACACATTCTATTCTCTCTTTGAATTGCTAAGAGTCAGAACATTCAAAATAACTATTTTGCTACAACCATGAATATTTCCCCTTGTCTTGATTTAAATTTTATTTTCTCTGTAGAAGTGCACTTATCTCTGGAACATTTTAATGAAACAAACACTTGGAACAAATGTAAATACAATACACTTAGGACTATTAGAGATATTTTAGATTTTTATGAAAAAAAAATGAGAGTAATATTGCTACTTTAAAAAGGACTGAAGTAATAAAAATAGATGTTAGTTATTTTTAAAGCAATATAAATTATTCAGCATTTGTCTGAAAAATAATCACCAGGCTATTGAGTTCTATATTCAGCTACTGAGTTTCAAAGAAATGTTTTGGTGGCATCATGCACTTTTCATTGAAGGTAAGAAAAGAATAAAAACTATGTTTACAATATTTTTGTTGGTGAGGTTTTTTGGTTATATTTTTGAATTTTGAGACAGATGTTACCCAAACCTCAAATAAGCCTGCTTTGTAAATGGATCCAACTTTTACCCTAAAGATCACATCAAGAACAACGTACTGGATAAATATTTTAAGTTTCAATTGTCTTATGTTTAAACACTCAAGATAGTTGTACAGGTTTATATGCAGCTACCCCACTAGGCCAAAATCAGTTAGCAGGTAGAAATGAAAAAATGTCTCAAAGTAGCAATGGAGACTAGGGATATACGTGCCCCAGGTACCCAGGTACTACTCCGTCTGTCCCACTGGAGACCCTGATCGTTGATCATGACGCTGTTTCTGCCAGTCTCAGAGGGAGCCAGTCAGAATCCTCTTTATCCTAGCTGTGCTTCCAACTGTTCCCTGACTGACATCATTTTAGTAATGCTGCTGTTAAGATAAAATGGTGAAAACACTGAATATCAAAATTTGGACTTCGGAGCCAACTTTGATATTCTACACTAATCTTTCAAAAGCATCTTGTTAAAAGAACTTCCATTGCTTTACAAAATGCTTTCACTTAGCTTACTCGTTTTGGTTTTTACTACTACTCTGTGACATAAACATAATTACTAATATTTTACAGATGATGAACATGAAGCTGAGTGTGAATTACCCAAACTCAGGTAATAGATTGCTCTTGAACTAAGTCTGGGGCTCCTTCCACTGCCCAGATCACAGAGCACACTTCCTTGACAAATTATCTGATATGCTTCTAAACCTCAGAAAAACACATGGGAAGCCAGTGATCAATTTGGCTTTTTGGGTGCTTTTGACTGCAAGTATCAGATGCAAGTAAAAATGGAAAAATAAGGAAAATGAGTATCTTGTGTAAAACTAAGACACAAGATGGGAACCGTCCAGAGTAAAGTTAGCATCGCAAAAACGTCTTCAAGAACAGAGATTCTTCCTAGTTTTCTACATTGTTGTCAGCAGAGCGTTGGATGTCCTTGGGCTTGTTTTCTCAGAGGGCTGAATGGCCACAGGGACTCTAAGCACCGAATCGTCATACAAGTCTTTAAAAAGAAGATTGTTCATCCTCTTTTTAAGAGTAAGAAAAATCTTCTCTAGAAGCATTCTAGGCAAAGAACCCTGCCCCCCAACCCCATTTTGTTGGCCTTGATTATGCCATCCATTCATTCCTACAATAGTACCTGGTCTGTGGATTGATTTAAACTAAGCAGGCTTCACATCCTTGGTACAGAGTAAGGCTCCCCTAAAGCACATGGCCACCTGACACCAGAACCAAATTAGAGTTAACCCCCAAGATAATCAAAAGGGTGCCACACTGCTTTATACCAATGGTTCTTGCTGAAGCCACTGCACTTGGGTTTTGTTACTGATTCTGCCATTGCCTACATGTGAACTGAAGGGCTGGTCCATTAACATCTTTTCTGACCCATGTGAAATAGGAGTACTGAGGACCACTGTGCTAGACCATGGCTCAGCTACTGGGAGCCTAGGTTGCTTGTCCTTCAGAGAAGGAGTAGGGGCAGGTCTCTGGACATCATAGAAACAATGGATGTTTGGCCCAGTGACCAGGGTATGGTCGTTTTAGTGGTACTGCCAAGGCTTCCAGCTGCCATTCATCTCCTCACGGGTCCATCTCCCACAAAGCTGTTATACCAGTCACAGGGATCCTCATCTACTTACTTCCCCTCAAGATCCAGGCAAGGGTGGGCCTAATGACTGGCCTCATCACTAGTGGCTCAACTGCTTTGTCTAACTTGAGAAGATAGGGTTTGATTAGTAGAAATCAAAACATTTCTCAGAAGGTTGTGCTAACAACCATTACAAAGTTATCACTGTTCATTCTAAAGCATTCCTTAGCAAATCCTTAAATGTTGAGATGACTTATAAGTCTCTGCCAAAGGGAGAAATACATAACAGGAAAGGAAGATTGTCCTCTGCCTTTCCTGTCCTCTTAGGTAAGTTAATCATGGACAGAACTTGAAAACTCCTCCAGTATGGTTCTATATAGTGGAGGACTGAGGAGGGTCTAGGGCACCATACATGTTGTAAGACTGTCCAAAACCTCCAAAAGTAAAAATTACTTCAGTTTTTGACACTTACATATACAAATACATAATCTCTAAGGAAAAAAGAGGCAGTAGCTCCATATATAAAGAGATGTCTGTAAACTATTCCCTCTTGTTCTAAGTTTTGGTCTCCCTGTATTTTTCTTGGAATTTTAGTTTATTGCTACTTCTGTCCTCTGGCTTATAGAAATACACACACACATACACACACACACACACACACACACACACACAACTTCTCCTTTGCAACAACCTAAGCTTAAGAAAATTCCTTTTTGGCTAGTGGAAGCACTATTTCCTGAAGTAGAGTACTTGGAGCAACTATTTCGAAATCAACTAGGATACTTACTTGAATAAAGATTTAGTGTGTCTCACCCCAGACTTAACTAAGTCAGAGTTTCTGGGGTGGGTCTGAACTTCTACTGAGCTAAAGGAAAAAGGACACTGATTGGACTTTTCTACAATGAAATAATACCTTCCTCACCAATTGTTATGAAAACATCTATATGAAGTAATGGATGTCCAGTTGGTGATGTACAGCAGTCGGTGCTTACAGCCATGCTTGGCACAGTGTAGACACTCTACAAGCATTTGTTAACAAATGAATAACTGCATTTTGTGAGCAGCCCTACTCCCCCTCTAAGGCCAATCTCAAAATGTTTTCATGTTTAACAAATACATAAATCAACTCCAAAAGCATTGAAACAAACTATAGCCTTTGCTAAAGTTGTTATTTTCCAGGGAAATAATGTAAGAGGGTTTGCATTACACAATGAAGCTTCCTAAATACCCTTTAAAAATACTCTCAAATTTCCACTCCCAGTGGCAGCAGCCACCATCACTTCCGCTGTTTCTCATGAGTATACCCTCCTGCAATTACCTTCTCTGCGTCTCACCTCCACGGGCCAAGCTCAAGCTGATTTCTCCCATTCCAGAAGCCCGCTAAAGGCTTCTCTATCCCTCAAAATACATTTGTGCCCCCCCTGTTTCTCCTAACTGCGTTCCCACTCATCAACCTGCTCAGCAAATCCAAGAATCTTCCCCAGTATTCACCCTCCATGGAATGTCAGGGGTGGAGGAGTGATGGGGAAGAAAGAGTAGTTTTAAATATTAATAATTTAATTATTTCCTCAGTCACTTAGGAGCTCATTAATGGGTAGTTATTTATTTTTATACGTCACTGGAGATGGGGGTCTTCAATTTAACTATACTCTGAAGCAGGTGATTTTTTTTGTCCTGGACAAACTGACATATCTATGTGAACTTAAAGGGTCCTTCATACAAAATTGGATTGTTACAACCCCAGCAGGAGGTTGACAAGAATAGGAATTTATAGTGTACGATGCAGTGGTTCCTAATGTCAGTCTTGTTCTTGCCTGAGTATTTGGCAGTGAAAGAAATTACTGAACAAACTAAATCCCCCCTAAGATTAGCAATGGTCCCTGAAAGCAAAGTTGTTCCTGGGCTTTTGGGAAGGAAACCACATTGACTGGAAGGAACTATACCATGCACTCTGCAAGTTATGTTTCAAATCACTTTCTTACATTTTGCTCAAGGAGAAAATATGAAAAGACCACTAGTTAGAAAGGAGAGATGAATTTCCTATCCATCTGTCAAGATATCGTGTGACTATCTCTGCCTTATCCTAGGAGGTATAATATAACCACTCTAAAAAAAAAAAAAATCTTAGAAAGTAAAGCTCCAGAGTTTAAAGAAAAAGTTGAAAGCAGAATTTAAATGTGAACAATTGGGGAAACACATTAAACTATGAGAATGACTTGCCCCAAGGACTCCTGTGTGTCTGCTCTGTTGTGTGTTACACGTCTGGCATCACATTTAGGTACTGGATTCCTGGCTCTTGCTCTCAGGCTTTTGGTGGAAGTGAATCATCATTTCTAAGAAATGAGGACTGTGGTGATTCACCGGCGAGCTTATCGTACCACGTACAAACCCCTGAGGAGATCTGACTTTCACCATCTGGCTTCTACTGTATACTGAGTGATTCTGGCCAAAACACTCATCTCTGAACCTCTGTTTGCCTACTGAGAAGACAAGAATTAGAGGTGTTCAACCACCTCACAAAGGTTGTTGTGAGGCTCACCTGAGATGATAAAGGGAAAGACACTTGGTAAGCAAGACAGCGTGTACGCAGCTTGTCCATTAGGGCTCAGTCGCTAAACTGTGTCCAATTCTCTGAGACACCACGAACTGAAGCCTGTGCACTCCTCTGTCCATGGGATTTCCCAGGCAAGAATACTGGAATGGGTTGCCATTTCCTTCTCCAAGGGATCTTCCAAAGCCGGGGATCCAATCTGCCTCTCCCAAACTGCAAGCAGATTCTTTACCACTGAGCCGCCAGGGAAGCCCCTGTACTTTTTGACCAGGATCCTAGAAATTCTGCTTCACCATCAAGGTGGCATTGAACACATGTGCAGCCTAAGAGTACCCCCTTTGTCCCCAAGACTTGGTAAACCACCTCAAAACAGTGTACACTTGTCTGGAAAGCCAGGGTTTGAGCATATTCAGGGAAACCTAGGCCAGATCTTAAGAGTGTCTGCCAGGCTCTCTGCGGAATTTTTCTTTCTGAGCCGACAGCACACGTTGGTGTCGATGGACTTTGGGTGGAGTTCCAAGTCAAAGCCAGGACTGGGATGTCTCAACGATGGTTTTTGGCTAGGAATGCGTCTCGTTGTGTGTTATCCAGGGCAGCATCTCTTGCCACCTCCAGCAGGATAAAGTCCGGGACGCACTTAAGGCTGCATCAGTTTCTCTGGGTCTGCCTACTTCCCTTGGGAACACGCCTCCAACTCCCTCGTCCTGAGTAGCTCTCAGGACACCCAAAGCAGCTAGTTACGATGCTGTAATGGAGAGTCCCGAAGGAAAAGTTATTAGTTGTAGGCTGGTTGATGCAGAGCTTTGGTGTTTTCTCCGCCGTTCCTTCCCTCCACTACAAAACAAACTGTGACCAAGCAACCCTAGGGTCCTATGGGCAGGGAGCGAACCAGCATACTCTGCCTATGATGAGGGGCTGACCAGTGGTCCCCAAAGAATCTCGCTTCTGGATTTACCCAACTGTCTCAGGACCCCAAATAGCTTCTTTGGGGACTCCTCCCTGTGAACGTGTCTTCATCTCTGCAGCCAAGCTGTTCCATGGCAGAAAAGAAAGACGCCAGGGAAGTCCTCCTTCCAACCCCCCCACTCGGAACTCCTGCCCTGGCTCTGTACTTCCACCAGAAAATGATCTTCATCCATCCTTTACCTCCCCACCCCCCAACAAAAGCTATGACAAACCTAGACAGCTTATTCAAAAGCAGAGACATCAGTTTGCAGACAAAGGTCGTAGAGTCAAAACTATGGTTTTTCCCGTGTTCATGTATGGATGTGAGAGTTGGACCATAAAGAAAGCTAAGCGCTGAAGAACTGACGCTTTGAAACTGTGGTGCTGGAGAAGACTTGAGAGTCCCTGGGACTTCAAGGAGATCAAACCAGCCAATCCTAAAGGAAATCAACCCTCAATATTCATTGGAAGGACTGATGATCGCGCTCCAATACTCTGGCTACTTGATGCGAAGAGCCGACTCATTGGAAAAGACCCTGATGCTGGGAAAGATTGAGGGCAGGAGAAGGGGACGACAGAGGATGAGATGGTTGGATGGCATCACCGACTCAACGGACATGAGTTTGAGCAAGCTCCAGGAGTTGGTGATGGACAGGGAAGCCTGGCGTGCTGCAGTCCATGGGGTCGCAAAGGGTCGGACACGACTTAGAGATTAAACAACAACCTCCCCCCACCTCACACCCCGCACACAAGGGGAACAACTCCACACTGCAGAACAGCAGACAACGAATCTGGAAGTGATGGGGGAAACCTGCTTTAGACAGACGCGCTTCCAGCGAGGCTCCAGGCGCTGCTCTGCGGGCCTCCCCTCGCTTCGCCTCCCTCCGCCGGGGTCGGCGGGCGGGGCTGCCGTGACTCCGCCCCGCGCGGTCCCTTTCTCCCGCCCCCGGCCCGGCGGCGACTAGACCCCCGAGCGGGCGGGCCCCCGGCCGCACGCTCCTGAACCCCGAGCTGCAGTGGGGCCACCGCGGCACCGGGCAGAGCCCTGCGGGTGCCTGCGCCCCGCACCCGGGCGGCCGCTTGGGCCGGCTCAGCGCTGGCCCGGGGCTCTCCATGCTGCGGGCCCCGGGGCTGCGGAGCCGGCCGGGTGGCTCCTGCGATGGCGACGGAAGCGGAGGCGGCGGCGAGAGGTGAGGTTGCGGGCGGGGGGCTCCGGCTGCGGGAGCGGCGGGTGCGCGAGGCCAGGTGGGCGCACTTTGCCGGGGGCTCTTCTCCGACCCTGCATCACCTCGGCGGGCTCGGGGGCCGAGGTCGTCCCTTGCGGCACAGGTGCGGCTCGGCGCCCCGAGCATCCTCGCCCGGAGCGGGGGGTGAGGGGTGACGACCGCGATCGCCGCCGGCTTTCGAACTGCCCACAGCCCTATTTCGGGGCCCCGGGTCGGACGTTTCAGCGAAGATGAGCTGGCGAGGGACCGTCCACCCAGCGACCGCGAGTAACCTCCCCCAGCCTACCACTGGGCGCCCACTTCTCAGTCGGCAAGGACTGCTGCGCAGACTTCTTAGATTTCGTTTTTCCCTTTTATAAACCATTTACCATTAGCCGTTGAAGGAGCTCGGGCTCTGCGATCCAATCCCCTCTGAACTGGAAATTCTCACTTCTGTTCCCTTCTTCAAAACCTGCCCAGCGGTGGATCGGGCAGGCGGGCGCGGGGAGGCAGGTCCCCTACATTTCTTACTCTTGAAAACCACAGATTGCACCGCGACAGCCCTCTGTCAGCGAGAGGCGGCTCTTGTGCCATTTCAGCACTAGGAAAGTCATCAGTGGAATTTGTTTGTTTCGTTTTATATTATTTTGGAGTTTTTGTGAATTGAGTTGGAAGCGTTGCTACGTCTTTTTTCTCTCTTTGGTGTCTCTGACGACATTCTCTGGTCTCTCCCATATGACTACTCATAATTATGGACTGATCATAAAATATTTGTTACTTAAGAAGAACAGGAGGCAGGGAAAACACATGTAAATAACTAAAAGACCGGCAGAGAGAAGTTCAGGGAAGCAGTCTGTTAAATCTCCACTTTGCTTTTAGAATATTGTGATGCGTTTAGAGTCTTCTGGGAAATACAGCAATGAGAAGAGGTCTTTTGAAAATCTGATAAGGGATTTAGATCATGGGGAGGTTTCTGAAATTCTATCATTTGAATATTTGAAATCTTTCTGGTCTATATGAAGATGTGAGAAGGCACTAGTTTGATAAGAGAAGGCAGTATTCATCATTTTAAGCCCAGAAATCCTGTTTTGGCTGTGACTGAACTCTGCCCTTTACTATGTCACCTGGGTTAAGTTACTTAGCGTTAGTCTCTTCGTGTGTAAAGTGGGGATAATTTTAGTATCTGTCTTATAGGTTTGTTAGGATTAAATGAGATGTAAATATATATATATATATATATATATATATATATTCATTTGGATATGCTTTTATTACTGATAAAATTTTATTACTGATAAAAGCGTAGAGGTTACAAGAGTCATTTTGGACAAAAGTTTTGCTTTAAGTTTTTGTAATAGTTTCAGCTCCTTGTTATTCACTATTTCTCCCTAAAAAGTCTTGTGCACGTTTGTTTCTATGCCCACCCCCCCTCCCAAGAAGAGCCTGAAGAGAAACACTAGTGTTTCACATTCCTGTGATTTTGATTGATTTTTACCTCCCTTTTCCCTTCCTCTTTTTTCTCCCAGCACTTACTGTCCTATGTTGGGCCATTGATGTCTGCGGACACTGGGTGTCTAGACAAATGCCCACCCTCCCTGGAATCTGCATCCTTGTTTCTGATACCCTATTTAAGCTCTAGGCGGGGGATAGCTGTTACTGACAAGCTTTGGCACAAATGATGATGTCTCACTCAGTGTTTCTGGAACAGCTGTCATCTCCCTCCTCACCCCAAATGGTTTTCCTCCTGTCATGGTTGTGGTCCTCTCCTCTAATCCAGAAGTCTGAGAGTCTGTTTTACCTCCCCCTCTTCTATGCCCCCTAGGGTGACTACACAGACCTTAATTCTGTCCCACCTTCTCTACACTGCCATTGCTGGAGATCACACTCTGCTGCTGCTGCTGCTAAGTTGCATCAGTCATGTCCGGCTCTGTGCGACCCCATAGAGGGCAGCCCACCAGGGTCCTCTGATCACACCTTATTTGGATGGCTGCTTCACTTCTTGCCTTTGACTGGGCCTCCTGAACACCCACCTTCTATCCTGCCACCAGGGCACTATCCTATCCCTCCTTTGATAGGATCTTCAGTAGCGCTGCATTCCTATGTGAAAAAAGTTCAAGGTTCTTAACCTACCATTCAAGTCTTTCGGGCATCTGACCAGCCTTTGCAGCCTCATCCTGAATTCTACTTCTTCATCTTCCCGAGCTCCCTGTCTCCAAGCCTCTGTTCCTGTTTGAGAGCTCCGTGGACCATGGCCTCTTTGCCTTGGCTCTGTATTCTCCTCTGCCCCAGGCACCCTTCTTTTTGCAACTGGCCCTCATGACCAATATACCCCTCTCCTTCACCAGGCTAACTGATTTTCTTGAAGATGTTTTTAAAGATATGCTATCCTTTAGGAGGGCTTCCCTTTTAGCTCAGTTGGTAAAGAATCTGCCTGCAGTGCAGGAGACCCGGGTTCAATCCCTGGGTTGGGAAGATCCTCTGGAGAAGGAAATGGCAACCCACTCCAGTATCCTTGCCTGGAAAATCTCATGGACAGAGGAGCTTGGTGGGCTACAGTCCACGGAGTCGCAAAGAGTCGGGCACCACTGAGCGACTAACAGAATACTATCCTTTAGGAAACCTCTTAACACCCTCCTCTATTAGCCAGAATATAGTTGAGGTGACTTTAGAGAGACTTCAACAGGAATTTTTCTATGTACATGAAAGTCTAACTAGAGAGTAGAGTGGCTCGCTCTATGATGTTATCCAGGGGCTGTGTTCCTTCTTTGTTTTTTAAAAAATTTTACTGGAATATAGTTGCTTTACAGTGCTGTTCGTTTCTGCTCTGCGGCAAAAGTGAATCAGTTACATGTATGCATGTATCCACTCTTTTTTAGATTTCCTTCCCATGTAGGTCACCACGGGGCACGGAGTCGTTTCCTGTGCTGTGTAGTAGGTTCTCATTAGTTATCTGTTTTACACATAGTGGTGTATATATGTTGATCCCAGTCTCCCAAATACATTCCACTCCCCTTTGGGCTTCCCAGGTGGCGCTAGTGGTAAAGAATCCACGTGTCAGTACAGGAGACATCAGAGATGTGAGTTCCATCCCTGGGTCAGGAAGATTCCCTGGAGAAGGGCATGGCAGTCCACTCCAGTACACTTCCCTGGAGGATCACGTGGACAGAGGAGCCTGGTGGGCTACAGTCCATGGGGTCCCGAAGAGTCAGACATGACTGAGCAACTCAGCACACACCTCTTTGGTAACCATAAGTTTGTTCTCTATATCTGTGACTCTTTCCTTTGCAAAGAAGTTCATCTGAGATATAAATGTATTTAAATATATATATATTTATTTTTATATTATATATATAATATATATATAAAGTGCTTAGCACAGTTCTTGGGAAATAGTAAGTACTCCATAAATGTTAGCTTAATATAGTTGTTATTCATTTATAGCTTCAATTTGCTTTCTGAAAGTAATGAATCTCGTGTCTATTAAGAAAGTATTGTTGCACTCAAGTGTGTTGTTGCACTCAAGTTAAATTGGCCAAATATTTGGGCTTTTCTGGAAAAGGGGGGCATGAAAATACACCTGCTAATTCAAAATATGGCTTACACCAGGTAAGTCTTTATGACAAGTTTTTGGACAAAGAGTTTATTGCTATTTAGCTGCATACCAGATGTTAACTTGGGGATGATCAAAATTAATCTTTTTTCGGTAAGGGGAACAAAGTCTCCACGGGGCCTCAGAGGGCCAGCGTTTATTGAGCTCCTATTGTGTGCCAGGCATTTCTTGGCCTCATACCAGCCCTGTGATGTGGATGATACTATCTCCCTTTCATCAGTGAGGTGAAAAAACTGCAGCTGTAGCCAGAATTTGACAAACAAACCTGAAGTTAAACTCTGTGACTCCTGCCTGGGTTGCTCTTCTTTCTTTCCTGTCTGCTTGGATGGTTAATGGGCAGTGTGCTCACTGCCAGACACTCTCTTTCTCTAAAGAGGGAGAATTATTGTTGCAACTTCTCCTATCTTTGGAGAAAAAAAACAAAGCAGGTCTCTATATCAGAATCCGGGGCCGCGGGTTTTTTTCCCCCTGGCACAAAATCCCTCCAGATTCCTTTTTCCTAGGCAGATTGACATTCAGGCCTTCACAATAAAATGAAAATCGGAATTCTCCGGTTGCCCAGTGGTTAGTGGTTAGGGCTCCGTTTCCACTTTAGGGGGCTCTTGGGTTCAATCCCTGGTCTGGGAACTAAGAGCTCACATGCCATGCAGTGCAGCCCAAAGGAAAAAAAATCTAATAGTGGTGATATGGAAAAAAATCCCCATGGTTTGATTACACTGCTGAAAAAATTGAGGGAGCTGGTTTTGAAGATGGCCACCAAAAATCAGCTGGTACATAATATGATTGCCTGCTCACTTGTTTTTGATGGGTTGATGGTAAACAACAAGATTAAGTAAGCTGCCATGCCAAGTGACTGGCACCTTCTGGTAAATAATTCCAGAATCCTTGGAGTTAGGGAGCAGGCATTCTCGAGAGAGCAGCACATGTCCCAAGACTGACTGCCAGACCTGGTCTTGGGTCTAGGCATCCAAGGGGCAACTTTCTCACCTCCCCTTCCTCCACTTTTTACCATCCCCTGTTTTCACCTGTGATGTTATCATACCCAACTCTTTTGAGGGGTAGTTCTGCAATTATGTAGTGGCTTAAATTCATTTTTGTGACTCAGATATCGAAAGTCACGTCCCAGTCCACTGTTCACAAGCTACTCTTCTTGTCCTAGTCCTTCAGTCGGATGTGCGTTACTCAAGATAAACCAAGATGGGATAAAAATGACTTTTGACATGTTTTAGGGGGAGGAAAGTGAGAGGAAAAGGGAGAAAGGTGGAGGAGTGAGAGGAGGGTTGGAGTAAAGAGAGGAGGAGAGAGGGAAGGAGCTGTGGAGAAACGTTGAAGGTAAGGACGGAGGGGGTGGAGAAGGGGGTGGAGAGGAAAGGAA